GTGTTACTGTGCATCTGGTGCTTGTTACAAGTGTAGCAAAGTTGGCCACATAATGAAAGATTGTCCGCTCGAGTCTGAGAATGCTAACCGCCTAGCAGCAAGCTCAGCTGGATCTGCTGCTGTAACAAGGTCAAATGCAAGAACTAATGCCAGAGGTAATGCTAGAAATGAAACATTAAGGCAAGAGAGAGTGTTCAGTGCCTGGGAATATACAAAACACCGAGTTTATGGTGCCAGGTATAATTTTCATCTGTGCCCAAAATGCATATGTCTTGATAGATTCTGGTTCTACACACTCATTTGCGTCGTATACCTTTTTTTAGAAATTAACTAGACCTTTAGAACCCATGAATCATTTATTGTCTGTATCTATGCCATCTGGGGGTTCTATAGTATGTTATTATGTTTATCCGACATATGATATTGTGATTGGTGATGTGACGTTGTATGTTGATTTATTGCCATTGAGTATTGATCATTTTGACTGCATATTGGGTATGGATTGGTTAATGAAGTACTGTGCAACTATTGATTATGTGAATAAATCTGTTGTGCTTCGTCCACCTGGATTACCTGAATTTGTGTTTGTTGTGAATGGGGTAGTTCCTCTCCCATATTTGATTTCTGCCATGAAAGTTGTTAAACTACTTAGGAAGGGATGTAGGGGTTATATGTATTGTGTTTTGACTGAGACTTCTAATACTTCTAATGTGGAAACTATTCATGTTGCTTGTGAATTTCTTGATGTGTTTTCGAAAGAATTGTCTAGGGACTTAATTGATAGAGAAATTGAATTCACCATTGATGTAATACCCGAAATGCAACCAATTTCTAAAACCCCATACCGAATGTCAACTTCTGAATTGAAAGAATTAAAAGTTCAACTCCAGGAACTCTTAGACAGGAAATTTATCCACCCGAGCACTTCACCTTGGGATGCTCCAGTTCTATTTGTAAACAAAAAAGATGGATCGTTACGACTGTGTATAGATTACAGAGAACTGAACAAAGTAACCATTAAGAACAAATACCCATTGCCCTGAATAAGTGATCTGTTTGACCAAATAGATCTTAGATCCAAGTATCATTAGTTGAAAGTCAAGGTAGAAGACATAGAGAAAACTGCATTCAGAACTAGATACGGACACTACGAACTTTTGGTAATGCCATTTGGGGTAACTAATGCACCTGCAACATTTATGGACCTAATGAATAGGGTTTTCAAACAACTTATTGATGAATTCATAGTTGTATTTATTGATGATATACTGATTTACTTCAAAAGCAAAGAAGAACATGAAAATCATCTGAGAACTACTTTACAAATTTTACGGGAAAAGAAGTTGTATGCAAAATTTTCCAAATGTGAATTTTGGCTTGATAATGTTGCATTTTTGGGGCATGTAATCAACAAAGATGGTATATCAGTTGACCCACAGAAACTTGAAGCTATTGTAAACTGGCCAAGACCAACTAATGTATCCGAAGTTAGAAGTTTTCTAGGACTTGCTAGCTACTATGGCAGATTTGTAAGAGACTTCTCAAAACTTTCCATGCCATTGACACAGTTGACTCAAAAAAATGTATCCTTTGATTGGACTGAGCAGCGGGAATTAGCCTTCCAATAATTGAAGACTAGATTGGTAACTGCACCTATCCTGACATTGCCTAACGGAACCGATGGGTTTCAGATTTATAGTGATGCTTCCTACAAAGGCTTAGGGTGTGTGTTAATGCAGAATGGAAAGGTAATTGCGTATGCTTCTCAGCAACTCCGACCGCATGAAAAGAACTATCCAACACATGACCTTGAATTAGCAGCTGTGGTGTTTGCCTTAAAAACTTGGCGACACTATTTGTATGGTGCGATTTGCGAGGTGTATACTGACCATAAAAGTTTAAAAAATTTCTTTACGCCAAAAGAATTGAACATGAGACAGAGATGGTAGCTTGAATTAATAAAAGACTATGATTTGAAGATTCTGTATCATCCAAGAAAGGCAAATATAGTTGCAGATGCTTTGAGCCAAAAATCCATTGCCAATATGTCATGTTTGCTCACAAGTCAGAAAGAACTGTTATGTGACTTGGAAAGAGATGGAATCGAAATTATGTAGTATGAACAAGGTGGAGTCTTAACTATTATTTTTGCCCAGCCTGCAATTATTGAAGAGATTAGAGAGAAACAACTGCAAGATGAAATTTTGAAGAAAATTATGGATGAAATTGACTCAAAACCGAGGCTGTGATTTGTGTTTGACAATAATGTGTTGAAATTTCAAAACCGATTTTGTGTACCAGAATGTTTTGATTTGAGGAAATGAATTATGGCCGAAGCTCACAATTCAAAATTTGCTATGCATTCGGGTAATATGAAAATGTACAAAGATTTGAAGCAAAACATCTGATGGCCTGGAGTGAAGAAAAGTATTGTTGACTATGTAGCTAGATGTCTGCAGTGCCAACGAGTTAAAGCCAAACATCAGCAACCCGATGGATTGCTTCAACCACTTCCGATACCGGAGTAGAAATGGGAGCATATTACTATAGACTTCATTGTAGGATTGCTTCACTCTTCTCGAGGTATGGATTCTATTTGGGTAATTGTTAATCGTTTGACTAAGTCCACACATTTTTATCTGTCAAAACTTTTAATAATGCGAATAAATTGGCTAACATGTATGTGAATGGGATTGTGAGATTACACTATATGCCAGTGTCTATTGTATTTGACAGAGATCCTAAGTCCACTTCAAGATTCTGGCAAAGTCTACAGCAAGCTTTGGGAATTGAGTTAAAATTGAGCAATGCATATCACCCACAGACAGATGGTCAATCAGAAAGAACGATACAGAACTTGGAAGATATGCTCAGAATTTGTGTCATAGATTTCCAAGGCAATTGGAATACCTACTTACCATTAGCCGAATTTATATATAACAACAGTTACCATTCAAGTATCGGTATGGCTCCTTATAAAGCTTTATATGGTAGAAAATGTCGTTCTCTAATCTATTGGGTCGAGGTAGGTGACAGACCTTTGTTGGGATTGGAACTTATGCAAGAAACAACAAAAAATGTGAAATTGATTCAACAAAGATTGAAAACTGCACGAAGCCGCCAAAAGAGTAATGCAGATGTCCGAAGAAGAGATAAAGAATATGAAGTCAGGGATCACATGTTTATCAAAGTGACTCTAATGAAAGGGCAAACTCGGTTTGGTGTAAAGGGAAAGTTAGCACCGAGATATGTTTGGCCATACGAGATTTTAGAGAAAATCAACCCGGTGACTTATTGGGTAGCTTTATCGCTGATCATGGAACATATCACTACAACAAAAAAAGGTTTTTACAACGCGCAATGCATGCCGTAAAAACCCTTCAACAACATGCAATGCGCGTCATATTACGACCAGTCATAGAAAGTCATTCACTTTCAACAACATGCTTCGTACGCCGTTAAAAACTATTTAACGACAGATTTTGTGCGTCGTTGTTACTTTTTCTACGACATGCTATAGTACGCCGTTAAAAGTTATTTAACGATAGATTTTGTGCGTCATTGTTACTTTTTTACAACTACTTTTGCACGTCGTTGATTGGTGAGACAAATAACGACACTGATTGTGCGCCGTAAAATATGTAATACAACGACATATTATGCCTACCGTAAAATATGCAATTTTTTTATTTTTAAATTCAGCAGGTTGTATTTGACAAATTTGGTCCAATCTAACAAATATTACAAACAAGCATCACAAAACATCAATCAACCACCAAAATATTGCTTGAAACATCAAAAAGAAACTATATCCATAAATTATAAACATTCAACAATTGTCTATACATTCCAAACATTCGAAAACTATATCCTTAAGTTCTAAATTGTACAAAAAGTTTAAACCATCCAAAACTATGCATATCTAACTTTCTAAACATATCAACAACTATTAAGAGATTATCTAAAACTACCGACAACAGTTTTTATAGCAGTTGTAGTTGCAGTTGCAGCTGCAGCTGTAGCAAATCCACTTGCTCGTATCATAGGGACGAGGGTACCCAATGTATTTGTTAAGGCACTTAAACCCGCAGCAATAGTTGGAGCAACTAACCCTATTGCATTTCTTATCTGCACGACAAAGGAAACTTCACATAAGTACAAAAACCAATTCCTTAGGGACAAAAATATTTCTTGAGGTATTAATAAATGATCAAGAAATTGTAAAATATCAACAAAACATTTTCAAAATTAATAAGATAATTCAATGACCCCATAAAAGTAATGTCATAATGAAAAATTAGCAAAAATTCAAGATCTCAATAGTCTCTAAATTGACCCTTTTTGGTTTTTCCTTTTCCTTTGAGAAGAAGTGACCCAAACTAGACACGAAAAATACCTTAACTCTCTCCTCTTCATTAGTGTCCATAATATATGCCATATACCTAGGACATAGAATAAACATGATCAAAAGGCACAATTAAATAAAATAAAATAAGGGACCATCCATGTCATAATCATTAGATATTCAAATGCTAGAAAAGACATATTCTGAATAATGATCATCATCCGTCTAGAAAAATACAATAAAGTCAATTAAAAAATAAGATGAAAGTTGTGATATCCAACGTTGATGAAAATTCTCAAACAAGATTAAGGTCTATACTCTATAAAAGGAGCCCGTAATTTATTCATCATCCTGAACAAATAGGATTTTAGAGTTAGTTAACTAAATCTCACATGCTTACTTGGGGAAGGTAACAAATAAAAAAATGGAAATAAACATCATGGAGTAGAACAAGACAAAACCCCTTATGTATAACAACAAATCTTAACAGAGCCATGAATGATATGTATAATTCTAAAATTATTAAAAATTATAGGAATGGCTAAAGAAGAACTTGACATAAACCAAGGAAAACGAGGCAAATAACGAGACAATGTGGGCCGCAATGGATCCTCACTGAAATCGATGGAGCAGACACTTCTTGTGCTAAATATGCTAATGCAAATCCATGAGCTAATAACGCAAAAGGAAGATAAAACGAAAACAAAAGAAAGTAACAACAAAGAAGGTAGAAAGAAAAGAATGATCGGATCCAAAGCCAAGGAGCAAGATCACTACGTGAGGATGACAATGCTGAAGTTTCTTGGATGAAAGCATCATGTTCCTGCTTGGACAAAGAACAAGATATCCTACAAAGACAACCATTTGCAAATAATACAATCAGATATGATGCATCAGAGCTACTGTTGAAGGTCATGCAGCTATAATGTCATGTGATCAAGTGAAACCAGTAATTACTTGCACAACTTACTAAAGGGGTGTGATGATATAAATAACAAGCTACACTACTTTCTAACAGGTTAGGCTTCTAGAGCGGTTGGTTATTAAAACCTTAGACTGACAGATGTAAAAGCATCATAACTGCCTTAGCTTTCTTGTAACAATATATTGGTACCCAATAAAACAATTAATCAATAAACTAAATTTAAGCCAACATAAATGCAAACCTCTCTCGTAGATATTTCTCCCTTGTTTTATTGTTGATCTAGACTTGGCATGGCATACCTACTCCTTGTTTCTTCCTCATGGAATTCTATAGGCGATTCAGTTGTATGAAACTCTGAATATCTTTCCGTTCCTGAAAGAATGCCATACTTTACCAAACTTGCAAAACTAATGGTAAAACTAAAGTAAAAAGAAACAAAAAGCAACATACAGTATGAGAATAGTACCAGAGGGTGACAATGGTGTAACCTCTGCGACAAATCTATCATTCACTTGCTTGGACAAACAGTTGGACTGATCTTAGCCATGAAAGTGTTTCATGATTGAACATGTTCCTTGTCAAAAGTATTCAAGAGCGAGTATCGAATATAATAATAAAAGAAGAAGAAATTATGTTTCAATATTTAAATGAGTGGGAAACAAGATAATTTGAAGGCACTACATGTACTGCAATATGCCCATCTCATGAAAGTTTTCATTAGAAGAATGGTCTTAGATCGTGGTATCAGCCAACATAACAGTTTTGAGAGTATCGACCAAATATGATTTGAGGAATATATTAAAGGACAGTTTTGGAATCAATTGGATAAACTAATGTAGGAATTATCTATTGGAGACAAGATAATTATAGTTGGAGATTTCAACGGTCCAAAGCTCCATTTTAGCTACTAGACAGAAATCGGTAATAAACCTGCAATTGCAAAATTAAAATATCAACTCATATGAAAGAAATTAAAACTGGAGAAAGAATAATTAAATCTTGTACCTCCACACATACCTGCGATATACAAAATCGAGTTGACTTTCAAGCACTGCCATACAACAAGTGTACAGAGAATAGGGCACGTAATTCTCCTACAATCCTTATTGCAGCAACATGCGATCTAGGGGCAGAGAGGATTTGAATGGATGAGTTTTACATACTTACTACCATTTTAGACCTTAATGAGGGCTCCTCACTAACACTCAATTATGAAAATTGGAAAAAACTACTATAACACGAAGGCAAAAATATTGAGATAGTATACACATAGAACTTTGCATAATAGAATAAAATTGTGAATGTTGCTAGAAAATGTGCATAGTCCCTGTCAAGCTTACCATTGTAGGACACAATGCCAATAATGTAAAAAGCCTACCTCAGTATCTCCCTTAGGCCCCGTTTGTTTAGAGAGTTAGAGAAGGGATTGGGATTAGTAGTGAGGTGGGACCTACTAATATTGTGTTTGTCTTGAGAGATGAGGAGGGGATTGATAGTGAGCTCCAGATTAGGATCGGCCTCCCCAAGGGGATTCGGATGGGCCTCCAGAATTTTGTATTAGAAAAATAGTCCGGCAGACTAGAAAATTTTTATTTTTATTTATTTTTTATTTTATTTTTTACATGTCGGGCATTTTTTTTTTTTGAACATTAATATTTAATTTTTTGTATTTTTTGTTAAGTAAAAATCATTATTTTATTTGTTTTATTTTTTCCTGGAAATTTTTTATTTTATTTTTATTTTTCTAAAATTTTTTACATGTTGGGCATTTTTTTTAGAACATTAATGTTTAATGTTTTTGTATTTTTTTATTTGTTTTATTATTTTATATTTATTTTATATAAAAATAATTTAACAATTTCTACACTAACAACTATCATCAAAACAAACACAATTTTACTTAATCCCCTCACTATCAATCTCGTCACTAGCAATCCCCTCACTATTAATCCCCTCACTATCAATTCCCTCCATTCTACCTCTGAAAACAAACGGGGCCTTAACTAATAATTTGTAAAGAGCATTAGGACCAGAAAAAGATTTCCAACGCATAAATGGGCAAATGATAGAAAATTCAGCTACTGTTCGTCCAACTTACGTGGTGTTATAGAATGTCCTCACCCACACACACCAATAATAATAATGGTAATATTGTCTCCTTCCCGTAGTTATACTCTTAGATTATCTAAAGTAGCATTGCATCAGCTTTCTTTTCTTTCTTCCTTGCTCTTTTCCAATACACATTGCTTATGTTGTAATAATTTCAATATAGTTTTCCATTCCTTCTATGAAATTTTAATTTTCCATGCTCTTTTTCAACTCTTAACATTCAGCTCTTTTTCAAAAAAGAATTGAAACAATAATTATTTAGATGATCCCAAATAATGGGGACAAGGCTTTGTTGAGTTGAATAGAGTCTTTTTTTACTTTTGATAGGCATTTGGTTATTTTTTGAAAACTTTTGGAGCAGAAAATCTGTGAATCTATCCTATAAGTTTTATGATAAAGTAGTCTGGTACTAATGAATCTGTAAGTAAAGAGAGTCTGGTTTTATTCATGTACAAGCCAACATTTTTTGCTTGAATTATAACTCTACCCTTAATTTTTCATTGTTCTATATGTGAGTAATGAATGATGCTTTTATTAAAATAAAAGAACACTAACAAAAGATGCTTTGTATCTTTTATGTTTAGTATATACAAGGCTGTTTCTCTTATTGCATTCTAATATAAGCTTATAAATATCAGCTTATAAATTCATGTCCAAGAGAAAAAGTATGATATTGGTGGCGGAATTCAAGCAATTTCTAGCATAAAAATAAAAACATAGAATACAGAGGAATACATAATTTCAAATTCAAGCAATTTGAACGAACATAAAGGAGTATATATATAGATATGTACATATATATATGTTGTGTCTGTGGGCAGAGAGAGAGAGATTTTGAAAACTCACCAAATCGCTATTGAATCCAAATTACTACGATCTCTGTTGGAAACCAAATCGATTTACTCAAACTTACATATATCAGCAAAAAATTTGAACAAGATGAAGAATAAATGATATAAGATCTCAGAATATATGTATATATGTGTGTGTGTGTGTGTGTGTGTGTGTGTAGCTAAAAAAATGATAGAAAATCTCAAAAAATTGTGCATCAAGATGAAGATCTCATCTGCCATGAAAATCATTGATTTACCTTCCGATTAAAGCCAAAGAACTCAGATCTTCAACGATCGATTCAGATTGAAGCTGAGATCTTAATCAATTAAGATTAAAGTTACAATAGGTAAGATCGATTGAAACTGAGATCAGTACAAAGATGGATTCGGATTGAAGTAAAGATCGATTTCGATATAAGGCGGCACAAAGATCGATTCAAACTGAAGCTAAAGATAGATCAAAGTTGAAGATTGATTGAGTCAAAGTCCTAGACAGAGGAAACAGTCGAGATCGATAAAGTCCTACTGAAGATCAATTCTTATATTGCGTATTTGACAAGCTTTAGCAACCAAACTAATTCGTCTCCAGCTTTTATCTACCTCAAACATGCGGGTCAAGTATCTAAGTGAATGTACGCGTTAATTTTTTTGGTCCTTAAAAGTTTCTAAATAATTTCTTTTGGCCTATCATAAAGAAATATGGTGTATTCTTATAATTTTCTTTTAAAATTTATTTTTGTCTCTAAATGATGATTTTTAGAGACTAAATGTAATTAGTCCCTAAATATTAGTCTCTAAATCACTATTTTCTTGTAGTGAAGGGCAGCAGCCAAAAGAATTTTTCCTACCAAATTGCTCTTAGTAGATTAATAAAATGAAAGGAAATCTTACCTCCTCAAGACATAGCCCTTGTTGGCCATGGCTGAGTTCTTGCCCTGCTAAAATTTAGCATTTGTAAAATCTCCTTGGTCTTCAATGCTTTTAGGCCTTAGACTTGATTACTAGTTACAACTCCTCAATCGTGAATTTTGGCGAATTGTGGCCTAATCTGCTGAAGTTTAATGAATTCACAAATTTTGTGAAAATTAAACATACACCTGGTTATGAACTCCAAAATAACCCACAAAAACAAAAAGAGGGGAAGAGGGGGAAAAAAAAAGGATGTACCTAGTGCACAAAGAAAAAAGGTAAATTGTAAAGAAAGAAGACTGAAACTGGGCCCTAGGAAAAAGTTAAAAATTACAAATCAGAAAAATATCTAAAATTTTCCAACAACCCCCTAAAATGATCATTACCCATATTCAAATTCCAGATTTACTGAAGGATCTAAAATTGTGTGTTTGTGAGAAGAACATGTAAGACAGAAAATTAGGAGAAAAAGGACAACTTTTGAAGGATCACCATTCAAATAAGCAATTCCTTTTTAAAGGGGGGAAAAAAAACAGAATTCAAACATACAATTGGAAAATTGACTATATTCACACCTAATTAGACAAAGACAAAAAAACCAACTTATTTAATTAAAAAAAATCAAAATTTGAAGATCTAATACAAGACCCATCAACAAATTACCCATCAAAATCCCAACTCTAATCGCAAGAACAAAAACAAACCCATTTTGTTTTTTCATACAAATTAGCCAAAAAAATTGAAAAAATAAGAAAATTCACAAGACCCAAGTGAGAAGAGAAGCACAAAGTTACAAACCTCTCCGAAAATTGAGAAAATAGCAAAAATGTTGTTATGCCTGGAAAACATCTAGAGAATTAAGTTGAGTAATGTAAGAATTGAGTTAGAAATGAATGAATTTAAGCCATACCATGCATGCATGCATTCTCATCACATTTTGAGTTTGAATTTCAAACAAACCTCACATGCATGTGTCTATCTTGGCTTTGTTTTGAGAATTTATCAAGTTGCTCAGCATTTTATCTTAATTGATCATGTTTTGGACAAGTTTGAGTTCATAGCTTTGCATACATGTTATATACATATAAGTTTCAAAGTTAGTTTGAACAATTGACTTGCTTTTAGGCTTTGATTTTGCGAAATGATTTTAAATTCACAATGTTTTACAAGTTTACATAAGTTTTCTCAAGTTTTTGGCCCAACAGAATATAAATTGCAGCTTTGAGTTGAGTTTTGAAGCTTGGAAGCAAATCTGGAAATTCTAGAATTCTGCTTCTCCGCTCGAGCGACAGAACCTGCACGGAGCGACCACTCTTTATTTGGCACTTCCGCTCAAGCATCCAAAAGTTGGCTCAAGCGTAAAGTGCATACTCTCAGAAGTTTACATGTTTTGTAGACTGCTCAAGCGATAAGAGTTGCGCTCGAGCGAAGACCTCAGTCTTATGCTCGAGCGACCGTCGAGTGGAGAAATCATACAATCAATACTTTTGCAGAGGTTTATAGATCGTGCTAGCGACCAAAGTTGCGCTCGAGTGACCACACCTATTTTGTACATCTGCTCGAGCGAAGAAATCTGTGCTCGAGCTGGGACCCTGTTTTCAACAAATTTACTTAAGTGTTGAACAACATGTTTTGGTATCCTTAATGCATCCTAGGCATTCCTAGGCCATGATTAAGACACAATAATGAGGATAAGACTTAGAAACACACTAAAAGCGAAACAAAATAAGTTAAGTACAATCCAAGTGTGTGTTTCAGTATATGTATCTGTTATGTTTGTGTAGGTCACGTGCCGTGAGCTGTTGATCCATTGGTTGCAATCAAAGCTATCTGTGGAAATATTTGTGAGTAATAACTTAGTAAAGCTATGTTTGATATGAAATACTTTCTGAATATTATGATATGACATATCTCATGCGTGTGAATGCTATCATGACAGCATGCTTACCATGTGGCTAGATGCTTATGTGATAAACTGTTTGAATGCCTGTGGGTGAAGGTTGGGTTGTCTGAGTTGGAAAAACTCGTTGAAATCCGTATTTTAGCCTACTTGTGAGTAGCAAATTCCAAAGTGTTTTTCAAAACAAACGGGTACGCAATGTTTATTTCCAAATTAGGCAATCTAGTCTATACTTGTTTGCCGTGCGCACAACGTAGTAATTCTAGGCTAATAATCGGGATAAGAACACATAAACGTTTTTAAAATCGGATATCAAGGTTAGTAGAGGCCGGTCTTCGGACCGGGCGAGAGGGGGTGCTCATAGCTGACCTTCCCCAATCGTACCCAAGCTCCCGAGCCGAGGCAACTTTGGCGATGACGGATACGTGGCCTTTGGCACCGAGTCAGGGTTTCCTAAATTCCCCCATTTTAAAATATTTAGGTGGCGACTCTGTAATCTGGCAAAGCAGTCCATGTTTGGCACTTCTTTTCAAAAAATCTGTTTCTCAAAATGATTTGTCGGATTTGGACTCTTTGGTTCAGATTAAGAACCGTGATACAAATCGAGTCCGAGCTGTAGCGAGGGCCCCACGCGGGCGCGTCTATAGTAGGTCACGTGCCGTGAGCTATTGATCCATTGGTTGCAATCAAAGCTATCTGTGCAAATATCTGTGAGTAATAACTTAGTAAAGCTATGTTTGATATGAAATACTTTCTGAACATTATGTTATGATATGAATTGTTTCTGAATGATATAAAAGGCTATTTTATGATTCCTTGAATGATTATCCATATCTTTGAAATGTACTTGTGGTATCCTTAGTAGAGGCCCTTACCTAGGGGACATAATACTGAGGCTTATGGTCATGAGACCCTTGCCTGGGGGAGATAATATCGTGGCACAGGCCCTCGCCTGAAAGAAACAATATCGTGGCCCATGTATGAGATATGTTACCTGATACCGGAGGTTCCATTATGGAACTTGATATGCTTGACCAAAGTGATATGTTCATGCTAATGGAAGTGCCACACATAATTTGAATACAAATATGAACGTGACTCTGTTTTTGATACAACTATGTTTATCTCTCTAATTGATATAAAACGAAACTGGACATCATTCATTAAAATCTTTACTCTGTTATTATTCACTGAGCTTTCGCTCACTATATATATATATATAATGTATGTAGGTGACTAGGCGCATGACCAGGCTCAAAGTTGATGACCTGGAGTCTCTGTTTTGTTGGCCAACCATTGTGCCTCCCGAGAAGGTTCCGGAAAGAGTTCAATGGTCGAGTTTTGTAAACCAAGACATAAGCTTAAGACTTTTGTTGTTTTGTGACTAGTTCTTTTGTTCTATTTTGTGTATAATGACAAGGTTGGATGGATGTATATGACGTCATATATATATATACAAGGTTTTAAATTATTTGTCCTATGTATGTCTGCACAGCTCTATGGACTACGTATGTTTCCATATTTGCTTCCGCAGCCCCTTAATGTGTGACAGTTTATTCAGAGGCCTTTGGTAATCCAAGGATTGCTGACCGGTTACGATGCTAAACCTATAGGGGTGGGTTTAGGTTGTGACACACACTCTCCTCCATAGATGGCCTCCATGAGAGGTTTCGACTCCTCTTCTTCAACGCAGAGCTTATGCATTCCCAAATGACCTCTCTGGTACAACTTACCCCCCGCAGATGATAAACTAGACAACCAGACGTCATATTCCCTGTTTATCTTTGGCATTTGCCCCTAGTGGATACATATCATTTTTCAAAAAATTCCAAATGTCATAGTATCAGGGGTTTTTTTTTTCTTGAACCTCATCTATTGCGACGATGGTTTCATAGGCAGGCGTGTACTTCTATTCAATGATGATCGGACTCATTTTGAATCCAAGCAGGATGTCTACCATGGAAGATAGAGTTACTAATGCGTCAGCGAACCGGTTGTTCTCCATTGGCAGATGGGTGAACGTCAATTTTTCAAACCTCAGAATCAGAATATCCAGGGTTTGATGATAAACCTTCATTTTCTCTTCTTTGACTTTCCAATCTCCGTTTGCTTGAGAAACAACCAAGTTCGAGTCTCTGATGACATCCAACCTTATTGCCCCTAGTTCTAGGGCAGCTTCCAAACCAGCAATACACGCCTTATATTCTGCTTCATTGTTAGACACTTTGAATTGGAGTTTGAAAGCTAAGGGTATGTGGGAATCATCAGGTGCTATTAGCAACACACCTATCCCATAACCATACTGATTAGATGCTCCGTCAAAGTACATTGTCCATGCTTTCTCTTTTACTTGCAGAATGTCTTCATCTGGGAATAGGTACTCCACTGCTTCATCTCCTTCTATTGGGTGGTCTGCTAGCAATTCCGCTACCGCTCTCCTTTAACTGATTTGCGCGTGACATACTTAAGATCAAATTCTGAGAGAAGAAGCAAACAACGAGCTAGCCTACCCCTAAGCGCTGGTTTCTCAAATAGATATTTAATGGCATCTAATCTTGAAATCAGGATTACAGAGTGAGCTAACAAGTAGTGCCTCAACTTGCTTGTTGCCCATACTAAAGCTAAACAAGCTTTCTCGATGGAAGTCTAACGAGTCTCATAATCCAGCATCTTCTTACTCAAATAGTAGATGGCCTTCTCCACTATATCTTTAGATTCTTGAGGTAGCATGCACCCTATAGTCAAATCTGTTACCGACAAATACAAAAGCAAAGGCTTCCTCAGCTCTGGCAGCGACAACACATGTGGATTCTGAAGGTACTGCTTGACCTGCTCGAAGGCGAACTGACATCAATCATCCCATCGAAACTTCTTCCCTCTCTTCAACAAACCAAATAGTGGTTCACAAGTCAAGGTTAATGTTGAAATAAGCCGTCTTATGAATTGCACTTTACCTAGAAAAGCGCGCACCTCCTTTTAGTCCTTGGTGGTGGCATTTCTAAGATGGCCTTGATTTTGGAAGGATCTACTTCAATTCCCCTCTGTGTGATCAAAAATCCTAGCATTTTCCCTACCGACACCCCAAAGGTGTATTTCTGTGGGTTTAACCACAATCTGTATTCCTTGATCCGTTGAAATAATTTTTCCAGTGCGGTGTAGTGGCCTTCTCGCTCTTTGGACTTGGCAATCATGTCATCCACGTACACCTCAACCTCTTTGTAGATCATGTCATGCAGAATAGTGGTCGCAGCCCTTTGAAGTGTAGCCCCAGTATTTTTCAACCCAAAAGGCATGACTTGGTAAAAATAAGTACCCCATGGCATGGTGAATTCAGTCTTTTCTTTGTCTTTTGGTGCCATCAGAATCTAATTGTACCTAGAAAACCCATCCATAAACGAAAG